CACACACACACACACACACACACACACTCACTCACTCACAAACACAAGCAATCACACAGAAACAAACATATATCTTACATCCAATACAAGGAAACACGGGTGACAGTTTACTTGATCAGGAGACCCGAGTTCGATATCCGAGTGGGGATACTTTTTTTCCCCCGAGTATCTTGGTCTTTCTGTTATAATGTTGAGTCCCACTCATCCCGGGTTAAACCTGAAAGGCAGGATTGGAAGCCCGCCTCCTAAATGATATAAATTGTATCAAAAGAGGTGCAAGAACACCTACGTTAAAGTTCTATGCCCATGAGACTCTGTATTCTCTTTAAATAGCCTACAATATTTCGGCGGCTTCTAGTCTTTTCTCTGTGACCTTGATTAGAGTCCAGCTCTGGCATCCATCATCTACACAAAAGGACTAATCAAACTTAGTTAACAACACTAGATCTAGTATTAGGGGGGAAATGTAGATCTATGATTCCATAACCTAAATGAAACCATTCTCTTTTTCCCCTGCCTTTCTCGCTTCATTGAGTAAACAAGGGCGACTACTCTAATGGCAGAGCGCGAATATGACAGAAAGGGGAAATAACTCTCCTGTCTAATGAAGAGTTCCCCCCTACGGACCTCTCTGGGTGTTGTTGAAAGAACCGGACGTTTCCAGTGGATATGTGCGCATTGTGGTTAATCAATATCTCAGCCATTTTTTCCCTGTAACTTTTCGCCCGATAGTTAGGAGATTTACGAGTAGAAGGATACTCTCTTCATACCCACACGTCCATATTTTAAGGTCTCTCTTTTCTGAATATCTGTTTGTCTGCCTGTCTGTTTGTCTTTCTGATTGTCTGTCTATTTGTTTATCTCTCTCTGTCACCCCCCCCTCTTTCTCTCTATTTCATGATTTTTACCCACTTTGATCTTTCCACCCTTTCGGCTCTCTTTCTCTCTTTTTGTGTCACTCCCTCTACTTTACCCCTACCAGTCTCTCTCTCCCTCTCTCTCTCTCTC